ATACATAATACGATGTTACAATTTGTTTTTAAATGTTCAGCATGTTTCGCCATATTGAATAGCATGCACATATTTGTAGGTAGTATTTATCAGACATCAAAAAACATAAATATTAATGAAATACTTTACAATCATTATTTTTCATCTTAAATGTCGCATATGGCATAATCATAAGAATAATACAATACAAGCTTTTTGCTCGTTTCTTCGAACACGTACCTATATTTCAGAAGATTAAGAATATTTTATTTTATTAAATAAGATTAGATTATAATATAATATAGATATGACTCTGCACTAGACAAAGCCTGTCGCGTGGAAGTCAGAGCCAGAAAGTTGACTATAGTAGTATGCGGTTCGTGCAAACGTGCGTGCGTTTGTGCGTGCGTGCGTGCGTGCGTGCGTACGTGCGTGCGTGCGTGAGTATTTGTTAAAAACATTGAAATAGGCTACTTCTAGATGATGTATCAAGATACAATATGCACCAGTTTTGAAGTTAGACCTTCAGAAATACCTCTATGAAAAACATATGTAATTTGACGCAGTAGTTGTCGCGTAATACCGGAACAAACAGAGAGACAGAAAAATTTATCTAAAATTTATTGTTTTGGCATCTATTGGTCTTAAGATTCCTCATATAATATAATTTTTTTCTTAAATATCTCCCATATATAGACATCGTCTAGTTAGCTCTTGCCACTCACTACGATTTTCAGCGAGTCCCTTCACCTCTTGATACGACACGAAGCCTAGTCTAATTGACCTAATATTTTATTTTAGCTTCCACGTGTTCTGAAACTCTAGTACTTTCTTTAACTAACACCAATAAAAAAATTCATTCTATCCAACAACAAATTTCATCACTATTGTATTTTAATTTTATTGTTCAAAGTTGCGTAACTACACATTGTGTTTTACAATTAAAATGTATTGTTATTTGTGTTCAACTGTGACATGGCATTAATTGACTGATCATGATTATAATGAATTAACTGTGTACTTGTTTTATTTATTCCGTATAATTTATTATTTAATTATAAATACTATTTATAATTAGGCCAATTATAAGTTATTTTACAATGACAATTTCTTTGATTTTAAGGCTTTTTTTATACAACTTAGAATGGCAAACAAGCTGACGGTCCACCTGATGGAAAGTGGTAACCGTCGCCTATAGACATGAGCAGTACCATGGACATAACAGAGTATACTGTTTCGCTCATGATACCCCCCATGCGTTACCATTCCTGAGGACTCAGGTATTATTTCTCTGTACTCTGTAAATTCACGCCATATCCCAACCTTCAAACCGAAACACGGTCATGCAATCACAACTGCTTCACGGTAGAAACACGAATGGGACAGAGGTACCCAAGCAAACGACTTTGCAGATTTCCCCTCTGGTATAATTTATAGATTTAAGATTTAATGGTCGAGGGATGGGCAGCCCTTTTAAAACATCACAAAGTCCTAACTGCGTTTGCTAATGCGTCCGCTAAGCATGGCAACTACAGACAAAACCTCCCAATGCGGAGAAGCCTATGTTTAGCAGTGGACAATTAACGGCTGATGTGGTGTGGTATCAAAGTAAAATATTAAAAAAATACTTTAGAAAAATAGTTCCATAGAATCGACCGTATTGAGTGTATACGATATTTTGTGACATGTCTCTCTCAAGGTAAACGTTCTTGGGGTAGATCACCAACACGATGGACTGATCTCATCAAAACGGCCACACAGCAGTCAATTGTGGAATGCTCTCGCTCGGTGGCGAACAGAAGTAGATGGAGACATATTGCGAGGACCTCAATCGCGAAGGAGAGCCTCATCGACGAGCCACTGTCATTGTGAAAACCACGACCACTCTGTCAAGAGTGTACGACTGAAGAGAGAGAGAGATAATCGACCGTATTGAGTGTATAGGATATTTTTTTTAAATGTACCTACTTTTTATACATAAGTACCTATTGTATCTACTATTTTTTTTAAATTTGTACTATCTATGTGTGTCAGTGTGCTTTAAAAAAACAATGATTATGTACTTTTTATTTGACGGCTGACCTTCTCCGTCCTTCTACATTAAAACGATTTCAATGGAAATTGAATCATGTTATTAGTGGAATTATGTATTATTTTAATTAAGTATGTGGTTAAAAGCGTCCATAACTTTACCGATGTGTGGTCACGTCGCAATTATATGCCAATTAAAAAAAAAAAACAATGTTTCTGTCTGAGTAATTAAATAGTTCTTTTTAAATAGCGATCTGAAACGTTAATCATGAGATAATATTCTTATTAAGCTGTCACTAATAATAAAAGATTGTGTCCCATAAAAAAATTCAATTTTTTTTTAATGGATGATAATGAAATGGTAACCCTGCCTGCGCTAACGGTATACGCTGGCGGAGCACCAGTGAAGGATGATAGGTGAGCATGAAAAGGCAGGTCTATTAGCACATCCTGGGGGATGTGCTAATATACCGGCGCATCCCCCGAATGGTAGGATGAGCACGCCATCCACCCTATCTTGAGAGAGGAGACCTGCTCTTACCATCAGGGGGCGGGTTGCTGCCGTCGGAGATGTGGTGAGTGCGAAAGCGAACATATGGCACCTCGAAGGTATATCGTCTGGTTTTTGGTGGGTACACCCCCACCTTACGGGGGGATTCACACAGTATGCATTCACCTCCCACAAGGTGTATGGGTCTGCATAAAGCATTTTCCAGACGTTAAAAAAAAAGGTCTATTAGCACATCGTGTTGAACACACTTGGAATTCAGCACGATGGTTTCCAAAGGGACCACGTGGAGGTCGACCTGACAGGGTACATTGCTAGTAATGGGGCTAATCGTCCGTATTACTAACAATTCCTTTCCCCCAAAAAACTCCAATTGTAACAAAACATTAGATAGAAATTGCCACGTGGCCCTTGCATCCAAAGCATGGCCATTCTTTCCTTTCCCGTGGATATTATAAGAGGCGACTAAGGGAACCTAATGATCGAGGGATGGGCAGCAGCGTCCCTCTTAAATCATCACTAAAGCCTAACTGCGATTATGAGAGGCTTATGTTCAGCAGTGGACATTAACGATTGATATGATGACGATGATTAGATGGAAAAATTGTATTTTGATGGAAAAAGTTATTTTGGGAAATTCCGAAACAATATATGAAATAGGTGGAAGGTTTTACGAGGTACATTTTTATGTAACATATATGATCAGCGTGTTAGTTCGCTAGAATCAATCGGAAGCACTAAAAAATTTACAATTGTATTTTTTTTTTAATTGAGAGTTAATATTGACGTCACCACACTTCGGTAAGTATTTTATTTTTATTTAATTATGTTTTATATTTATATTGTTATTTGTTATTGAACGCTCTTAATTATTTCTCATTTCTTTTGTATTTTTCTTTTTTAAACAAATAACTGTTTTGAGTATTCTTCATATGTTGTTTATATATTTAATTAGTTTTTACAGGAACTTCGTAATCGAAACAAGATAATTAACCCTTTGTACTCGTAATTATGCTTTAGAAAGTTAGCAAATAACTCGGATTTTTTTTTCATATTCGATCAAGATGAATTTCTTTGTATGGAAATGTATTCCAATGTAATTAGAAGGTTCATCAACCTTAAATCAAAAATTTCAAAATATACCCCCTGAATACACCCTATGACTTAGGATGGGAATGTTGCCAATAACGATAAAACGACTGATGCCCCCCCATATTGGGGCATACGAGTGCAAAAGGGTTAACCCTTTTTTGCATAATGGTGGAAATTTCCATCATAACATTGAATGCCCAAAAATTATATAAAAGAACAAGTTCACTTTAAGTTGATCGTGTCTGGATACTGAACATAGCTGTCAAATGTATTTTTTAACTATTTTTCCTTTAATTTTGAACATGAATTATATCACCTTAATTTTTATTTTATACCACTTAGAATGGCAAACAAGCTGACGGCCCACCTGATGGAAAGTGGTAACCGTCGCCTATAGACATGAGCAGTACCATGGACATAACAGAGTATACTGTTTCGCCCATGATACCCTCCATGAGTTGCCATTCCTAAGGACTCAGGTGTTATTTCTCTGTACTCTGTGAATTCACTGCCATATCTCACCCTTCAAACTGAAACACGGCCATGCAAACACAACTGCTTCACAGTAGAAACACGAATGGGACAGACGTGCCCAAGCAAAAGACTTTGCACAAAGTCTCCGTCTGGTAAGAATTTATTTCACCAATAAAATAAAATCACGCAAAGAAGGGTTAAATGTGATGAAATGTGATGTTTATAATAGGTATATTCCTAAAGGTAGGTAATATTACTAAAGATAACGGTTTAACCAACAATACGCGTATGGATTCGCTAAACCGATAGGCATACCTATATAAAGGTAGTATTGTTCATTATCGCACCGTCATCATTATATTCACGTAACTAACATTTTTAACCGACTTTCAATAATGAATAAGTTTTCAATTCGATCACGTGTCTTTTAGATACGAGCAATCATATTTTTGCAAATTGTGAATAAAGTATTTTTTTTTTTATTGAAAAAGTCTTTTATTAAGTCATCTTGAAATGTCCTTCGTAAACTTGTCAGATGCAAAAAATAAGAAATAGTTTTTTTTTTATAATCTTTGTCATTCATAAAAAGAAAAATGTATGGCAAAAATGAAAATATTATAGAAGTGTGGATGATAATGGTGTCGATAGATACATAGTGATGCCGCAAGTGGAACCTACGGTTTTTTCCATTTATAATAAAATCATTTTAAACTTGTTTTGAATAAATAAGTTTAAAAATAAATAGCTACTTACCAACTTTATAATTTATATATAACAAGTGACTTAGTACTTGCAAATTGACAATAACTAAAGTTGATAAATTAAAAGGTTTCCTTGTTTTATTATACATTACATTAATTAATTCACTAGTATAACACTCATCCAATAATTCAGAATAATTACAACTAAAACTTACCTGATTTTTCGTAAAAATAATTCATAGAGAACCAATCACAAAACTTTCACAGGTGCAAACGCTGTCGTGGTCAAGCAAAAACTATTCTACGAGTAAAATACCGCTTTCCGGTTCGTATTCGACGTAGAACAAGTTTAAAGAAGTGGGGAGGCACATTCTAGTAGCGGCCCTTAAATTCTATTCATTTACAATGGTCATAGATAGGGGAAATGGGGCTAGTGCCAGAAGCAGAAGACACCAGCTTACTAGCCAAAAAAAAACGTGCATTGTATTTCATTGACTGGCCACTCACCAGTGTTTTGCTAAGAAATGTATGTCAGAAAGATTCTTATCTTTATTCCTCTTATTTTTTTGTTTAATAATATCATTAGTGATTTTGCGATTTAATATTGTACTTAGAGGACTTTTTGCTTAGTAAAATTAGTATTGAATTCATATTCATGTAATTTTGTTATTATATTATGTTCTTACATGTATATTTGTGTAGTCCATGGAGATAGGGCACTAGTGACTACAGGCACCAGTCTCTCACAAAATCGGTCTCACATATTTAATTGTACCTCAAGTTGTTTACTTTTTACTTCTTTTTTGTGAAGTGAAAATAAACCATTCATTGATTCATTCATATTAAAATCAATTTTAAAAATTGTTTTATTGAATATTCATTCGTGGGATATGTCAGTGAATTTACAGGGTACAGAGAAATAACACCTGAGTCCTCAGGAATGGCAACGCATGGGGGATATCATAAGTGAAACAGTATATTTTGTTATGTCCATGGTCCACTGCTCATGTCTATAGGCGACAGTTACCGCTTTCCATCAAGTGGGCCGTCAGCTTGTTTGCCATTGTAAGTTACATCAAAAACGGTAATTTTTTCACTTAATTTAGGGACTACAAACTAAACCGTCTTTCAAAAAACACGTTCATGCTCATTTTTTTACTTTATCCGAGCAGTAAGTACTTTATATTATTCTTAATTTCGTGTATAATATACTATATTTAATATATGTGTAAGTATATTTGTTTTTTATATATATTTATTCGTTTATATATGTGATTTTAGTATGTATGTATATCAATAATTACTAGTACCGCATTCGAGTATTCTGACACTTCCCTATGGTTGACTGGGAGAGAATGCTTTTAGCATTAAGTTCGCCATGTACACATATATGTAATAATGAATAAATAAATAAATAAATAAACTAGTAAAACAATATTGCGGTATGGAATATTATTTGAAAACTCACGACATCCACAGTTTTGTGCAGTTACCTAACCGCTGCAAGCTGCGGTTGCGAGAGCGTTCGCAAACATAGCGGGAAGCGATCTCAAGTCATTTGGTACGGAATATTTATTATCTCATTTGTACATTTCCTTGTTACACCATCATTACTGGATTGGTCCCAAGTTGGCGAGATGCAACAAACAACATTAGATTTTCAACCGTCTTCGAAATGAGGGAGGTTCTTGATTCGCTTGTAGGTATTTTTTTTATGTCTGTTACCTCATAACTACGGCAATTCTAAACCGTTTTGGAAAATTCTTTTTTCGTCTAAAAAAATATACTTACAGATGGGTTTCATAGAAATTTTACTAAAATATGTGTAGCAGTTCAATTTTTAAACAAAAATAACTGGTTTTTTTTTCGCCAATTGAAATCGGTTTTTTTTTTTTATTTTATGGGACACAATCTTTATTTATACAGTAATTTATAGTAACTCTTGTGGACCTCATCTAAAAGAACCCTTTTTCGAAATATTTCTAAAAGTACCTTCACGAGGTGTCCGTTGGAGCAAATCTTATTTTAAATACTGCAAATAATAATGTAACGTCAAGGGGGGGAAGGGATTGTCAGTAATGGGGTCAAATAGCCCCATTACTAGCAGGGGTATATTGACATGTCAGTCAGGTCGACCTCCACGCGGTTCTCCCTGGAAACCATCGTGGTTAATTTTAATTGAACTCGTCAGGATGGGCTAACTGACCTGCTTTCATCCTCATCAGTCATCTATCACTGGTGCCCCGCTAGTGTATACCGATGGCGCGGACGAGGCTACCATACCATTATTACCCATTTAATAAAAAATTGTTCCATTGCTTGCAATATACCCTATCAGGTTGTTGTTGTATCCGGGGTACGTTATTTATACATATACACTCATAAGATTATTTGATCGCTCATACTTACATTTCCGTTATTTCGAACGGGACTCTGCGGGAGTCACAGATTAACGTTCGGCTGTTACTTGGATTTATTTTCATTCAGGACCGTTTTAACCCAACACGACAGAGGTGCGGTACCTTATAGCGCCTAAACAGCTTAATCAATCACTATAAAATTTAACACATTTTTACATTATATACACGTATTATATGAGATGGAGAAATACTCACAGAACCACATTCCGGAATGGTGAAATCTTTAATTACTATATTTTTGTATCAATAATTCCCTTTATGAAAATAGCCTACTAAGATATTATGTATTATTTATTTATGTATTAATGTTTTAAGTATGCGAGGCATTTTATAAAATTAGGGTTTGATGAGGCTGACATATCCTTATAGGATAAATGCCTCTAAATAAAAAAGATAAAAAAAAATGAGACGGAGAAGAATATGGGCTAGTTTTTATCCCGATCAATAAACATATCCCGGTCACGCGGACAAAGTCGCGGGTAAAAGCTAATACTTACATAAAAATGAAACTTCAATAAATCATTTACTACTTTTAATTATTTATTTCTTAAAAATACTAAATTGCGGACACTTAATACTACTAAATGTATGCTAAAACAGATTATCATATCATATAAATAACATTAGCTATATTATTGCTAATTATTCGCCATTGTAAAATGTTGTTTGAAATTCAAATTATTTCAAAATATCATATTCCTGACGAAAAAGTTGTTATTACTTCATCTATACTTATTTTGAAATGTCAAGAATAAAATATTATTCTGTGTAAGATGCTGAATTTTAATATCAAAATGTAAAATATATATATATATATATATATATATATATATATATATATATATATATATATATATATATATATATATATATATATATATATATATATATATATAGAAGTTTTTTTACAGAACTACTTTCAATGGTTTCAATTTCTAGAAATAAAAGTCTCGCTTTTAAAAGTAATTAGGGTTGTAAAATAAACTGATTTATAATATACAAAATTATGCAGAAAATAAAAAAATTAATAATAGAAACAGTGTGTGGGTTCTTAGTATTTCAAGTAGGACTTGGCTACAGAAAAATTACACATTTTTTTTTTGCTTAAAAACCCATAATTTAAAAGCACCAAAACACTGGATGAAAGTCTATGGAGCTGTTTCAATAGTAAACAAATCAGGTAAGGAGACTTGACAAATATTTTATGGAAATACTAAAATATGGCAAGAACACTAAATATACTAATTGCTATTTAGTGATTACTAATACTAAATTAACGTTTTCAAAGTTAAATTTAACTATTGTGATATTATTAAGCTTACTGTAACGCTATAATTATCTTAACTACTCTTTATACACTGTAAAAAAAAAATAGTAATAAAAAATACTGAGTAAAAATTATAAAAAATAATATTCTTATATATAAAAATCTCGTGTCACAGTGTTTATAATCGAACTCTTCCGAAACGACTCGACCGATGTTTATGAAATTTTTTTATGTATAATTGATAGGTATGAGAACAGGTCGTAAAGTATATTTCATACCGCTGTGTGATTAAGGTGTCCTTATTCAGAAACAAATATTTATACGGCAATACCTTACATTGTATAGATAGAGTGTTTCCATAGAAATGCTTTGAGAAAAACGAGTCAACTTTTTCATACAATTTTGTGTGATAAATAGTCATGAGTGATTCCTTTATAACTTCTATATTTATTTTGCCTTATAATTTCTGCATCTTTATAACGCGTAAACACTTTTTATTTATTAAATAATACATCATTTTATGCGTAAATATATAGAATACTGAAAAAAAAAACAAGTCAGCTAATTTGATAATTAGCTGACAAAAGTTGACTCGTTTTTAAGGCTCGAGGCTCTATTTATATAATCTAAGGTCGTAAAGTATATTTCATACCGCTAAGTGATTAGGTTAAGGAAAAAATATCTATTTACATGGCAATACAACGTTTGCCAGGTCAGCTAGGAGAAAAATATTTTTTTCCAACTCACAAATTTATTTCGAAAGAGAAATAAATATAAAAATATATAAAAATAACCTAATTTTAAAGACACAATCATTTATCAATATTATATGAATATTTAATGAAGTAATTGTAAATATTTAGATAATTATTTTCTATTTATTAACTTACCATTATACAATAAATTTAAAATTGTACCAACTTTTATAGTTGATAATAAGTTGGTAGAAAAAAAAATATATTTTTCCAACTATTTTCCAATTATTTATAATTCCATAATTCATAAATAGCAGTTATAACAAGTATTGCCGTTTACAGTAAAATTAATAATTGCTTTATTAAAAAAAATTACTTAAATTAAAATATGACAGATAATAAAAAAATAATATAATTAAGTACTGTTTCAAAATCTGGGTTACTTACAGTATACCTACTCATTATTTTTTTTAAATATAATGAAAATATATTAACGTTCACTTATATTTTTTAAACAATATGGCTCATTTATGGCCTTAAAAATTAATAAAAGTAAAAAATATATATACCTATCAATAAATGTAACGTTGAGTATTACACTTAATGGGTTTAAATTACAATATTCTTAAAATAAAGCTAAAATATTTATCTCTTATTTACTGGAATGTAAAAGATTTTTGCAGTCTAAAATAAAATTATGTATGTACCTATATATAAGTTGTATACAAACTATTATAAACTGTCTTACAAAAAAAAAAGAGATTCATTATATAATATAATGTTGTTTAGAAATTATTTACTTTTCTTAACATTGACTACAAAATACCTTACAATATATTCATCACTTATATCAAACACCAATTCCTGATTAACAATAATTTTCTATTTAAAATTACGAAATAAAAATTATTATAATAACATAATAATCAGAAAAAATAGACACCATTTTAGTGAATTAGATGAAATAGATAAATGTAGAGATTAATTCGATTGTACATCGCTAGATGGCGTTGAACATAATTACAACGCGCTATAAATAAATTGATGCGTTTTTAATGTAAGCAATTTTTCTTTTTAATACATACAAATTTGTCTTTGATAAAGTCTTTCGTCGTCAGTGTCGTTTTAAATGTTTCGGTTGTGATTAGCGTTACGTCGATAGCATAGATTTATAGACTGAGTTTTGTTGATAAATCTTCAAATTACTTATACCTTATAAATCGTAAATTGTTAATTTTACCAAGAATTTTAACAGCAATCTTAATATTGTTTTAGTTATTATTTTCATTGGAGATTCGTTTGAAATTCAATATTGATTTACTTAATATATTAAAACTGTAACTAAACGATATCTGTACATGAGATATTTTAAAAACAATAACATGAAGAGTCTTAATAAGAGTAATAGAAGCCGCAATAAAATTTTTTTAAATATGTTTTTTATCTTGTAGGTATGTTTGTTCCGGCTTCACGCAAAAACTACAACACCAAATTGTACGCTGTTATCTCAGGTATATTCCTGAAGGTCTAACTTAAAATCTAATATATGTTTTATCTTGATATGTCGTAAAGAAGTAGTGTATTTAATTGCTTTTTCTACTTCTGAAATCCACGCGTACGTAAAAGCACGCAAGAAGCTAATTCATTATAAAATTTCAAATATACATATATTTTTATATCAGGACGGATACATTAATATAATTGCACTTTTTGGAATGTTAAGTATATCATTATTACCTATTCATATTAAAACAAGTATATAAAAGAATGAAACCACGAAGCAATAAAGAGTAAAGACGGTATAAATGGTTTATTATTTTTATAATACACTGACATATCGTCATTGTGCAGCGAAATATCACTAACATTTTTGGTGAACCCAATTTTTTTACCCCATTTGATTTGAAATATAATAATCTACCCTATTTTAAACAATATGAGCTTTTTTTTCATCATTTTGAAATTACAGAATGTCATTAAGTACCTAAGTACCAATTCTACCGGACATTTCACCGCGAAATTGATTTTTTTATTTTAGTTTAAACAAATAAACAGCTGTTTGAATTTCATTCATTATACGTAGTTTTATTAAACTGTAAGCAATGTTTTCTTCCTACAAATATTTTTGATAGCATTTAGCATTTAGAAGCTATATAGATTTTTACGTAAAAAAGATATTTAAACGCGATTATTCTCAGAATCTGTTTTTTGTAGTTGTTGAATTTTCGCTGCACAACGACGATATATCTACACACTTAGAGATTCATTGGACGTAAATATAAATTATACATATTTTTAAATAAAAATGTATATACCTATTGAAAAGAATCAGCAGAATTAAAAAAAAAATCCAAAAAAAAACTTTCTTAGTGAATGCTTACATTATAAGAGGAACTGAAACAAAATTTAAAGACTACGTTTGTATTACCAAAAATTTCAGCCAGCGATATTATATCGTAAACAAATAACTATAAAAACTAAAATTTAAAACTAAATAAAGCTGTATTTCTTTTCGATTATTTTTTGTGTTTCTATTGAAGTGCACCACAATGGTGATTGAACGTTCTAGTACTTTGTCTTAGTACTGATGTCTCTGGACATTTTAAATATTTTCACTTGTCGAACTAATAAATGTTTATGCAACAACGTAATTATATGATGCTACGAAGGCTACCAGTAAAGAACTTTTTTTATATACTTAATTAATATACTTTAAACTTATAATTTGTATATATTTTAAACATGATTTGTATATATTTTATATGCACTGTTGTAATCAATTAATTATATAATTAATGTATATTACATTGTTATACAAAAATGTGTGTCATTTATTTTAATTGCGGTCAATATGTTGCGAATAATTTGAGAATATTAATTCATTAACAATTCTCTCACGGCCAAACTATATTAGTGTATATTTAAACTATTTACTTTTAAAATAAAATATGATTTTAAAATGAGATTTATGTTTTTCGTATTCGTTCAAAATATGTTGTCGACAAAGATACTGTACACTCGAATATTGTGTTTTAATTTATCAACACAATATTTCAGAATATGAAAAAAAATCAACACCAGTTTACTTTTTTTTTTATTATGTGACCACACTATCCTGAGCTAACACAGAGACAACATAGTATAGACTGCGGTCAACCAGAGAGAATGTTCCACTCTCAACGGTTGGCAGCACTATGGCGGCTAACTAAGTGCTTTTTCACGCTACATTTGAAGGATCCGCGGTTATAGGAATGTTATAGGTCCAGATTTAAACTGACGTCATTATAAAAACATTTTTTTTTCTACTATGTGACAAGTTACAATACAACATCTTAACATTTAATATTGTACCTATGTTAGTTTTGCAATTATTTCAAATAATTTAATACAATGCCCGATGACTGATAACATAAATTTAGACATTAATGTTATTTGTTTTGTCCGTGTATTTTCATTAACCTATGTCATATATATGATTAATTATGACAATCTCTGTATATACGAATGTTGTATTCCAGAAAGGATACCTTATCTTCAGCGGTTAAGTTGCAGATATCCTGTAAAAGGAAGCAATATGTAAATTATATATATAAGATAAATAAGTTTTCATTTGTTTTTGTGTGTTTGCTTAAAAAGTATATCCAACCCTTTTCTTACCCATAAATGTATTTAGTATAACGTATTAAGTACTGACAAACTGGCAATGCAATCACAAAAAGGAAAAAAGAACATTACTGCACTAGTGTGCGTGAATTGTAAATGTGTGCATATGACAGGTCTGAATTCATATCAAATTAGAGTTATAAAAATAGCATAAATTAATGTATTTATTATAATTTTAATTTCAATTCATGGACATTCAGAACTTTATTTAAGTTAAATTAATTTTCTACCATTTCTTGTACAAAATAGTTTTGAATGTACTTTAAATAAAGACTGCAACTACACTGCCATATCGTTGAGCCCTCAAATGACATTTTTACCGACCTCAACGGGTATAGCGACGCCCCTTATTCTCATGAGGCTCTCGATATTGCAGTCCGTGCGAAGAGGCATCTTAGATGTCCACATGTCCCCATTCGGGATCAGTTTGTGACAGCCCTCGTGTTTGCAGTTATGAAGGTCGCATCGACGGAACTCTCGCCGATTGGATGACCTGTGGGTGAAGGGAAGTTATTAATTCACGAATAGTTATCAAAAATGATATTTTTTATACGTTTTGCGACACGTATTTCTTTTGCAGTATTGATACCAAACCGTTAAGACGACTCGCAGCTGTGATTTTTATTTTTTATACAACTTAGAATGGCAAACAAGCTGACGGCCCACCTGATGGAAAGTGGTAACCGTCGCCTATACACATGAGCAGTACCATGGACATAACAGAGTATACTGTTTCGCCCATAATACCCCCCATGCGTTTCCATTCCTGAGGACTCAGGTGTTATTCCTCCGTACCCAGTAAATTCACGCCATATCCCCCCCTTTAAACCGAAACACAGCCATGCAAACACAACTGTTTTACGGTTGAAACACGAATGGGACAGCGGTACCCAAGCAATCGACTTTTGTACAAAGTGTCCCTCTGGTATCTTGCAATTAAAGTAAGTTTATATCTTTAAATTACTTGCCTAAATGTAATATCGATGTTCTTATAATTCATGCAGTGAGACACCCTTACGGTGTAGTTGAAGGTATATGATACCCTGGGGCAAACGGTCTCCACGAAGATAGAGGTGTTTGTTATCGCTTGGCTGGACAGTATGCCCACGTTGACTTTCTCGCATTCTGAAAAACACTTCATACTGTATTTTATTCATATAAATACTCCCTGTATACACGTAAACTTGTGAAAGAAATAAGTGTCCGGTGAATTCAAGAGGAGAAATCGACATTCCAAGTAATGCGGCTGTATTTTGAATAATTAGCTCCAACTATTCCTGGATCTACATTTTAATCAAAGCAGTCGTTGATATTTTGTTGTTAATAGGCAAAAAGTTGAAATAAAATGAATTTATATTTGCTATAATTTTTAGATAAATGAGGGATACTTACTTCCTGCCTCTATGTCGGCGTGCGAATGTTTAACAACATAAGACATTTACATATATATTTCACATTATATTATTACAGTAAAAATAAATTATGGAGGTGATTACATTTCTACTTCAATTTATTATTAATGTAATAAACCTATTCACACCAATGAAATACAATAAAATTTGGAAAAAAAAAATAAAAGAATGATTTACATTAATTAAATGTAAAAAAATCTTACTACCAACTGGAAGGGTAGCTAGGAAGCTTGCCGCATTCTGTCTGTATTCTTGTATTTTCTATCTGTATTATTATGTCTGTATACTTTTTTAAATTAAATAGAGAAACTAACCATCATCGCTAAAATTTTCCTCTGAGCTAGTCTTCAGTACCTCTTGATTCGTTTGCCTAGCGGTCCTCTTCACTACACCAAGGGCCTGAATTATATCCCGTTTCATTCTAGCACTTTCTGTTCCGTTCTGTTTATTAGAGTCTAAAAGATTGGACTCGGCTATAATTTCGTCATGCAATTGACTCTTGAAAGAGTCATTGTCATTTTTAAACGACGAATGGTTTTTCTCCCCATCTCCAAGGACCGGGATATTAGGTAGTTTATCCTTGGGTAAGGGCTCTAGAGGTCTGGCGAAAGTTTCATTCAATTCTTTATCTGGTTTTGTCTTTTCTAACGGTTCTTGGTTCTCGTATGTTTGAGGTGAGTCAAGGCCGCACGATGACTGAGAAAGAAAGGTCTAAATCAATATTACGTAAAATAAAATTAAGTATAGATAAACAGTATTTAGGACTATCTTAAAAGAAGGAGTATCTTTAACTAATCTTACCAAAACATCTTGGACCCATCGAATGACATGCTTAAAATCCTTTTTTAAAGCAGCGTGAAAAATTTACAATTAAATAATAAATGTATATAATGACCAAATACTATAAACATCAAAGATTACACACAAACACTACAACATCCATTGTATTCGTCATAATTTAAGGTCTTTTAGAATTTCTTCTACTCGTAGATGTATGTTTAAAATACATTTATTGGGCATTAACGCGACGCAGTTACAGGTAAATAGAATTTACATACCTGATTTTTATTACTGACGTTTTGATGTATATTTTCTAATTAGTAAAATAGTAACATTTACACCTTACATTGTGTACTGCGTTTGCAAAAGAGTTTATTCTGCGAACGTCCAATTTGTGAAATAAATCTACAATCTGATGTTCCAAATTTAAAAAAATTCGTTAAGGTCTTGAATGCGTACATGATATCTCCAAAGATAAAGGCATCGAACGAGTTTTATGCTTAGGGTCAAAAAAAGTAAAAGATGTGCGTTGATTGTTTACCTGACACTCAGGGTCCAATTCGTTCAGGTTGACTGGGAACGCGCAACCGGCGCCTATCACGTCCGAGGTTCTGGATAACGCGATCAGCTGTTCCAGTGGTGCTTGGGAGGTCTGTTCTATATCTGAACAAAAGAAAATATTCACTAATGAGGTAAATCCGACATTTCGAGGTACGAGCCTATATAAGGTACTTACCATCAAATAAAGGAATCTATCATTTCAACTCAATGAAAATCCAAGATCTAAGATATATGGATCAGTTCTTACGTTTACTCTTGTAATATCTGCAAAGCAGCTGTGATACATTTCGTTCCTGAATATATAGGGTAATATCGGAACAGTACATAAAATTAAGAATCTACTCATTCTAAAGAACATTATCATTATCATGATGATGATATCAGCCGTTACTGTACACTACTGAACATAGTCCCCCCCCCCCCCTATTGGAAGGTCTTGCCAGTAGCTGCCACGCTTGGCAGGCGAATTGGCAATCGCAGTTAGGCTTTAGAGATGTTTTAAGAGGAACGCTGCTCCCCATCCCTTGCCAACTCTCAGTTGATTTTTACGACACCCACAGGAAAGGATGGGGTGACCTATTCTATGCCTGGGCCATGCAGCCAATTCTTCTCAGATGGTCTTCAACGACGGTCATAGGTAAACCCTTTTAATCTATTTCGTAGACTACGATGTGAGTTGCCATCACTTGACAATTTCAGCATATTTGTCCTTTGTACTAGAATGATAGTAACCAAGACCAAGTACTGGCAAATCCCCTCAAGGGGGAAGCATATGTTTAGCAGTGGACAATTAAAGGCTGATATGATGATGATGATGATCGTTGAAGCCAGTAACTATTCAGCACTACTATTATTTCTATTGTCTGATACTCACTGTTGCTAATGAAGTTTTTGACATAGTTTCTTGAGGCTAGTAATGTTGTAGCGATGGTATGAGGCAGATCAGTGGGTGGACTGGTACTGTACTCCTGCGTAGTTTTGTGAGGACCTTTCTCTGTAATAAAGTAATAGTTTATCTTTCCATTTGACTGTACGAATTATAAATCCAAAATCTTCATTCCTAATACATAAAGTAAGGATGAAGATTGTTAGTAATGCGAACTGCCAGTTAGCTACTCCCAATGGTTGCTATATACACTGTCAAGTCCACGTGGTTCCCTCTGGAAATCATCGTTCTTAATTCCAGGTATATTCTTCACGATGGGCTAACTGACGTGCTTTTTCATTCTCGCCTATCATCCTTCACTGGTAGCCTGCTATCGTATACCATTAGTGCAGGCTACCATTCTATTATTATAGATAAAAAAAAAGTTATACAGCAATTATGTTTTTGATACAACGCAAATCGTAATAAATAAAATAAAAAAAGTATAAAAAAATCATGCTAAAAGTTCCAGTAGTCTTTATGTGCACATATCTCTTGTGTTCCTTTATTTTGAAAATTTGCCTAAAATATTTTATATTCTATATAATTTTACTTTACTTACTTCAAGATATATTTATAAAATTCTTAAACTAACCTTTGACCGTTTTCTTTACAGTGGCATGTTGGGAAGGTTTTAAATTCTGAAATAGAAATACATCAATTATTGAATAATTGTCATTCACTTTAGTTAGTAGATCATTCGATTACGTTCCAAGTATTCTAATCAGGACCATAATATTAACAGTATTAATTTACCTGTATTTGGTTTTGGTCCGGCGGCGCTCTATGCGCGTTGTTCATATTAATTTTACTATAATGCGGGTAGTTCGTGTATTTGTCGTGCATCCTCGTTTCTTTCATAGAGAGCAATTCTTGGTGCTCTCTGAAGTATAATGCTGACATGACAACTAGACTGCAAATATAAAATTATAATTTATTACATGTAATTTTATTTTGCAAAAGGTGTTTGAAGTTTAATTAATGCAAATATAGAAGTATAAAACAGTTTCAATATAGTTGAATAGATCTTAGTTAAAAATTATATTTTTTTTCCTGGTAACACTTTCTTACTGTTTATAATTTCAATAAGCAAAGTCATGTGCAGTGGTTTATAATATTATAGATTTCACCTGTCATGGGATTACATTAAAGAAGATAAGAAATCTATAAAAATACTCACCATACAGCCATAATAAATATCAATATAGTTATAACAATTTGCAAAAACTTGTTTGAGATCAACTCGCTGCTGGCGTCATAAGTATTTTTCCTTTGACAACAAAAGGGTAATCGAGAGTTGCTATATGAAAAATCGTCCTCATCCCTCAACCAGAGACAAGAATCTTTCTTCGAGACTGAACTGTAATTTTCATCTGGCAACTTTTCGACCCTACTCGAGTCTGTCTCGACATATTTTGCATCTAATTTTTCCGTCTTATCCTCTTTACTGGAATGATAGCGGACACACGTTTTGTTGTAATTGTAAAACTTGCCATACTTGGAATTCCCTTGACAGTTCTTGCACTGTTTTTTTGTGAAACGGGGGGAATTATGGCTTAGTTTATGGCAACATTCATGTTTTCGGATATTCCGGGCAATACCTCTAATTGGGTCAATGGATATTTTACTATCGCTGTAGTTTGTTCTTGATGTATTTGATATCGCAGAGTAACGTGAATCTGAAGACAGAAATGTGTTGTTTTTCAGTAATAGTCTCTAATTTAAGTCTAATTTAATATATCTGAGTTTTGATTTAAGAATAAAAAAATATGCAGTTACAGCAAGAGGACTTCTTGTATTATTTGTCACTTTTATACTTAGTCCTAGAACTGACGAGTAACTGTAAATTTTTAACATTAAAATTTTAAATAAAAATCACATACCATTGCTGACACTCGACCTGGAGCTGTCTCTTCGCTGCAGTATACTTATTCGACACAATTTCTTGTTGATCTTTTCGAGTTGATCAATTCTTGACTCCAAATTGCCAGTCACCTTGCACAGTTCTTTGACGGCTCCTAAATTTTCCATGAAAATACGATCCTGATAAAAAAAAATGTTAAGTAGTTAGTAAAAAAAAGCCCATATATCTATTAATTGTCAAAAAAAAAGGTCTCTACGTCATTTTCGTGATTCACCATTTAATTTAGTTTATTTGTTTTATTTGACGTTAATACGAAATACATATAGCATTATATTATGATACTTGCTCTACCTTTAAAGCAATTTATTCGAATTAAAACTTAGAATTACACAAAATTTATTTTTTAGATTATTTCAAAATTGGCTAAAGACTAACCTTATTAACAACTAAGAATTTGGATATGGTATCCCCATTAGACAGAATCATGTCTCCTGCTTCCTTGACAGCTTCGGGGAGCACGTTCCTTACTTCCTGGGCTATGACCCCTGTGTCCTGTTGGGGGGTCGGCGCAGTGGGGTCATAGCCTAATAAACCGGAATGCTCAGCAAAAGAAGGGTCGTAGTTAAACCTATGCAAAAATATCATGTAAATAAATAATAGTAAAAAGAGTTAAGAGAGACTTTAATTTAGTAATATCGAAAATAGAATTCATATATGAAATATAATTTAATTGCATAAAATCTCATTCGGTCAGGGGTCGGCAACCTGCGGCTCTTTGTAAATAATTGTAAAGCTGCCGCTATTTAGATACATACACAAATATTATTTATTTTATGAAAAAAAAATCGTTCTGAATCGATTAACGAGAAACAGGCACCAAACTTTATTTATGCAAGTACTATTTATTGTTGATAAGAATTATTTTTGTAGATTTTAAAAATTTTAAATTTTTGTAAATTGTAATTTTTGGCTCTTTCGACTCAAAAGGTTACCGACCCCTGCATTAGGTTATTTATAACTTGCGTTGAATAAGAAACTGATATAAATACTAATACTAATATAGTACTATGTACTACAGAGGGTCAAACGAATCTATAAAAACTCACTTAACGACTCTAATACTCTGCACATTGCGTAGTTGCTGAGCTGTGTCCAATTCTTCTATATTATGTTTAGCTCTTGCATCGGATGGGTGCAGTATTCGACCCATAACTTTTAGGTTTCCTGTAAAAAGATATGCATGTATATTTATATATGCCTTTACATATTATTTTAGGTTGGCATTGTATATATCTTATATATATATATATATATATTTTACCCATAACTGGCGAACGTGTATGAAAGGATTGATAAATATGGAGGAAGCAAAAGAGGCTTGTTTAAATCGAAACAAATGCCATTCCGTTGTTTCTGCTTACCCCTAATGGGAGACAGGCGTGACAGATATGTTATGTATGTATGGAATACATTAGAAATAGTTGGAAAAGAAAGAAAAGAAACTGATATCAATGTATATGCATATAGGTACACGTATGAAATACTTTTGCCTACCTCAATGGGAGACGAGCGTGATGTATGCATATGCATATATGGAATATGGAAATATAAACGTTATCAACAAATATTAAAGTATCCCACATAATATTACTATTTCTTGTTGAAGTATTAATTTGAGATGTAGTGAGCAATATGTTATGATACAATTATGGACGAAGCCGCAGGGTACGGCTAGTGAAGCGTATCAAATGTCTTGATAAAAACTGATATTAAACGATAGTGGTCAGTAATAACCACAAGCACCCAGCACATATAGGTATTTATGAGTAGAAGTTAATATATTTAACCGCAAAACTCATTACCATTGTCAGCAAATAATAATATATATGACCATTGAAATGTGGTGCTGGAGATGGATGAAGAATGTATTGTAATGTAAATAGGACTCTATTTTCAGCGCTTAGCCTCTCATTAGAGTCGAGGCTAGTACAGCCAACTTAGCTCGTCCAGAAGCACAGAGGCTTCCTGGGATCTTCACAGACCTCACGGAGCGACCTCACCATTCCGAGAATTTTTAAACATTGATGGGCCACAGCTTCACATTCTAGGATTATGTGAGCAGCCGTTTCTTCAGCGTCGAAACAGCCTCGACATAGAGGGATTGAAGGGAGATAGATGGAGAAAATTAGCTGGAAAGATCGAGTTAGTAATGAGGAGATCCTGCTTAGGGTTAAGGAAAAGAGACAAATTGTAAAAACTGTTGAGGTGAAAAGGGAAAAAATATTGAGACACTTGATTCGACAGACGGTAAGACAGAAGGAAGGAGGGAAAGGGAGAGACCAAGGCATAGTTACATCAGGCAAATCAAGGAAAAAGTTGGTGTAGTGTCGTATCAAGAAATTGTATTAAATTAAAATGATTATTACTTGCTTTGTGCTTTAGAGGGTATATAAATCCGTCTTCATCGTGTGGTAAAGCATATTAAAAGCCTTTTGTACAATGAAAGCAATATGCAAATTTCTTGGCCCTAAATATAGATAGATAGATACTCTTTATTGATTCCTCCAAAAGATACAGTACTAAACTTATTACAATTATGATACAATTCGACCTTATCGCTATAAACGATTTCTTCCAGGCAACTTTTGGATGGAGTGGAATTATTATAAACAGTTTGATCGAAGGCACAAAACTTTTTTTATACAACTTAGAATAGCAAACAAACTGACGGCCCACCTGATGGACAGTAATTACTGTCGCCTATGGAAACACTGACATGAGCAGTACTGTTTCGCCCATGATACCTTGCGTTGCCATTCCTGAGGACTCGGGTGTACCCTGTAAATTCACTGCCATATCCCACCCTTCAAACCGAAATACAGCCATGCAAACACAACTGCTTCACGGTGAAAACACGAATAGGACATAGATGCTCAAGCACACGACTTTTGTACAAAGACTCCCTCTGGTAAATTTGGCGCTATTTATTCCTGTTGCACGCATCCTCCTTTACAAAATTCAATCGTTTCGACTAAACATTTTATTCAATATTTATGAAAGTATTAAAATTTCAGTAAATTCTAATCTAGTTTAATATACGAGTACTATATCTAGTATAATATTTTTATATCACTTTTATAATGTTTACTCACCATTAACGACGCATGATTCGTCCGGCCTATCAGTATTTATTCCAACACGTCCGTTGAAGTGGACGCTATTGTCGGAGACTCCGCGTTGCCACCAGTTCTCCGTGCAGTCCGACTCGAATTGTCCGGGATTCGATGCCTTTAATTAAAGAAGGTAATATTAAAGTAAATAATAAAAAGACATTGAAAAAAATAAAAAAAAGTAGGAGGAAAAAAACTATAAAAATTAAAGACAACTTTTAGATATTGCTTTTAGCAAAGACTCGTAACCAGTTTATAAGTACAAGTAAGAGTGAGATGTTAGTTTTATGAGAAATGCTTGAGTGAAATTGTTATTGAATTATTTTTGCCGTGCAGCAGAAATACATGCATTATACACCATACATAATGTTCATGATTCTGTTCATATTTACAGGTCACGGTTACCTTTTTAATCAGCTTGTTTGCCATTCTAAGTATCATAAAAAATAAATAAAAAAGAAAATCTTGGTAATATGTAATCTATACATTACACCCTGGTATTCAAGGATATTAACGCACGTGCGTGAATCGACACAAATATTCTGCAACGCTCTTAATATTGTTATGTATAAAGACTACGGGAACTGCTTACAATCAAGTGAACTGTGAACTTGTTTGCTATTCCAAAAATATTAAGAAGTTAAGTAGATTTGATAATATCTGTTATTATTTTTTTATATGAGCAAACTTTGAAAAACAAGTTGACTGTCCAGCTGATAGAAAGCGGTAACCATCAATCTCCGCGTATAGATATGAATAACATCATTGTTGTCGCAGAATTCATTGTGAGACTCTATAACCTTTTATACGATCCCATTTCTAAGTTGTGTCTGTAATATTACATTTAACTTGCTTAAAAACTTAGATAACTCACCCTAACTATAATTCTGTCACTAGCATGAGCTGCTATCATATAGTCTGCATGAGAAGTATGTGCCCTCAAAGCCACAACTAGCTGAAAATGTCTTTGGTCGGGATTAGGTCGGCCTTTCTTTCTCATATTGTTGTTAGTTGTTTCGGCGAAGTGGAGACGTCCTACGGTGATCTTAGTACCTTCCCGACGGAGTTCCACTCTAAAACATAATCAGGTCAGTGTTAATGTCAGATAGTCACATAATTACCTGGTTCCCAAATTAGAGACAAACTATGATATGGGATATAATGTCCATTTGGGCAAAGCAGGCAAAGATTTTGATTGCATATTATAAGATAACCAAAATCATTGAACCAATATTTTTAAGTCTCTAAAATTTTGAAGCAGCAAATCTTTTAATTGCTCATATTGACTGAATAATAACGCTTAAGTAAATACTTACGGGACAGGATGAAATGGTTTCTTCGTCCGATCTGATTGGCTTTGCTCTACTCTCACTTCTTGACTTGGATCCTCCGCCTGTGTAAACAATTATGGATGTAATGTTTATAGATGTTATTCATATATGGTCAGTTTATAAGAGATTTACACACCAAAATGTTGTCTATGTCAATCGTTACAGTGAAATAGTATTATAAGGTGTTGGTCTAAGATTATAAACAAGTAAAGTGTCTGTATGCTGCTAACAGCGCAATTGAAGCATAATAGTTGTTTAAAAAAGTATATTCTCTGTTCTAATATTCTTAATTTATATCACTTTTTAATAGGGTTTCGTACCTCCAAAGAAAGAAACGAAACCTTTATAGGATCACTTCGTTGTCCGTCCGTCCGTCCATCCGTCTGTCAAGACCCTATCATACACTCAGGTCTGCAATTTCTTAAACTAGTGAAAAATTCAAACTTTTTAATCGACGCAATTCAAAAATATGGCCATGTATGTTCCATTTAAATCGCATATTTTGACATTCGCAAAGGGAATCAAAAGGTACTTCCCGTTAACCTAGAATCATAAAATTTGGCAAGAAGCAACGTCATGTAGCACAAGTAAAGGAAATCTAAAAACCGTAAATTTGTAGTGAAATATCATAAAAAAATTATATTTAATAAGTTTATACGGAACACTCGTTGATCGAGTCCGACAGCCACTTGATCGACTTTTTTTAAACACAATTTTTATATAAATAATTTAGTAGACTAAATAAACAATATAACCTTAGAAGACTATGTATGATCAAAACATGAAATTATTTTTCGTTTTGCGTTACCTTAACACCGTAGAAGTGTAGACAGAAGTTGTTAATCTTCTTATATCCGTCTGACGTCTTTACGTAATGTGGATCGCCCTGTGTTTGTATCTGGCATGTTACTTGAAAATGATTTTTCTTCTGGCAGACAAACGCCTCGTCTATTTGAGAGTAGTTAAATCCTTTGTCCGCTCCCACAACATAAGAGGGTGATGATCTGAAGAAAAACCTTTCACTAAATGGATACAAATACAAATAGCTTTATTTTGTTTGAAAAATGGTATAAAAGATGGTATATAATATTTAAATATTGTTCACATTTTTCACCAAAATGTGGCATACAAAATTTATTTAATTGTGCTAATATACTATGCTAATACTATGCTAATACTATTTTATTTAAATCCTCATATTATATAAATGTCAATATATTTACGTATTTATTAATAATAAATTATACAGATTACAAATTACTTTAATTGAGTCACATATTTAAGCTTTAAAATATTCAAAATATTCATTAACCGAGTAAAAACATTTTTTTATCAGCCATCTTTTTAGTTTCTTTTTAAATATATTCAAGTTTTTATGTCGTCCGTTAATTTATTATAAATGGTTATTGTCATACAGTAGGCATTTCTGCTATACAAAGTTGTAGTTTTATAAGGTAGTACTAAGTTTTGAGGATTTCTTGTGTTAAAATTACAGAGATCACTTTTCTTTTTAAATAAATGTAAATGTGTTTTCGCGAATATGCATACTTCATATATATATTTACATGGGACAGTAAGTATATTTAATAAGTAATGATACACTATTTACAAAATTCACTGCATTATTACTAATAATATCCCAAGCTAGCTACAGAAAATAAAAAAGTCATAATATATGTAAAGTTCAGATGAGTTTATAAATATCACGTATAGAATTATACTTGCACGAAAAAGCATTAACCTTATTATATCTTTTGATGTATTGGCAAAAGAAGGGGGTTTATTATAATTTTTGTAATTATTTACACCTTACTATTTGACTAAATATGTCCACAACTCTCCCGTATATAATTCTAAAAATAACAATACTCACAGTGGTTTTAAATTGCAATCATACAACGAGTACCAAGAGCCCTGCTGGAAGGTGGCAAATCTGATGCACTGCAGTGGAGCATCATCACCTGCCTCAGAGCCGTCTACCGAAGGTGGCGCTGGACGAGGTACTTGACTCACACTCTCAGGAGACAAAGCCGCTATCAAATAATACAAATTATAGTTTAACTTTGCTAAGAATTTAAAATTAATACCATAAACAACTACGAGTATATAATTTAAATTAAATTATTTTAACATGAAATCTAATATATCAGTATAGAAAAAATGGCCGATCTATTTTGTATTTTATTATCTAAAGTTATTTCTTTACAAATTTAAGCAATAAAATACAAGTCTAAATGTTTCTTACATAATATTGAACAATAGGCCCTTAGCATTATTCTATTGTAAATACTTTAAACTCATGCATCATTATATTAAATATCTTACCAGGTTCACATTTAACTTGAGAATTTGTATCTTGCGAGTGCTTTCTCTTTTTAACATTAGGTTCTTGTAGGCTTGTGTAGACTGGAGTCAAGGTTTCATGTCCTAATGCAACCAACTGTGGATTCAACATCCCCTGCTCTAATTCAGGCATGTCTACTCTCATTTGATTGTATCTATTGTGGTATGGATCCAAATTGAGGTCGTGTCTCACAGTTCTGATACCCATCTCCACAATATTTGGATCTGGTGGCAAAACTACTACATCGCTAAGGTTATTCCTTAGTACTTCATGATCTAAGTTATCAGATTTCAATTCCTCATAAATATAATCTCCGTCCTGTTGTAGAATTTCATGGTTTATGTGATCATGTACAAGCATGTAGTCTGAACCTAGAACGGTTTGGGAAACGGCGATAGCATGAGGTACTTGTTCAGGACTGTATGGGTTTTCCGATCCGGAGTCCGGTGGACTTTCTGGCAGTTGGTGGCCCCTATAAAGAGATAGTTTATTTTACAACTTCAATGCTTTAACTCAATAAGAAATGAACAATTTAATGAAGGACGAATAATGTTTTGTTCAAATAAGACCGCTTTTAGATTTTATGAGTTCTTAGTCTATGGTGGATCAAGATGAATTTTAAAACTTTACTTTATGAAAGATATACTAGCTATTACTTAACATTAATTAGTGATTAATTTTTTTTACAAAATTTGTACTAATTGTCTAAATTCATTATGATTCATCTCATTTGGATAAAATCATAAAATAATTTTCATCTGATATTCTGTGTATACTGAAAGTCCAAAATACATAGTTACTGGTGATATTGCATAGCCTGTATATTAAATGGACTATGTGGTTAGAAAGTATCTAGCACTATCTTAGTTATAAAAAAATCAATCTTAGGATAAATAATGTTTGCAAATATGTGTGTTATGCAAATAAATGATTGACTTAACTTGATGATTGTCTAAAAATTGATGCGGATGAACTTTTCAAAACAGCATTTAACGTTTAACAGGTTCATGATTCTAGTAAGTTAAAGTACAATTAAACGAAACATGATCAACCATTTTCGTAAAAAATATATACAAGTATGTCAATTTTCTTATAGTTAAAATATAAAGCGTACTCACGAAATTTTTAACAATACAATAAAGAATTAAAAAGAAAAACTGTATAACTGTACATAGGAAATTATGCTTCCCTAATAACTGTATTGAGCCCTAATTAACATAGTGCACCTAACTAATAGTGAGGACTGGTTGCCTAAACAAAGCATCATAAACACCCCAAAACAATAAAACATAGGGTACGTACCCAAGTCGGCGTGCGTCTATAGGCTGCGGCGGGTAGCAGCTCTCGCCGACGGGGGCCATATATGCTTCCAACTCGTCAATCAGTCCCGGACCTGGTACAAAGATGACAGTTTAATAAATTAAAGATTTTTCCGCAAAAAGCAAATAGTCTAGTGACAAAAATTAGTATTGGATCAAAAAGGACATAAATCCTGTCTATTAAAAAAATAATCATTCAAATTAGTGCACAATAAATAAAAATATTGCGTAACAAATGCAATAACAATCAAAATAATATTTTTTAAGCCGATTAAATACCAACATATCAATTAATTATTTTCATGATTGAGAAATTAAAACAAAAACTTCCTACAAATTATCAACAAACAATTAAAATAAAAAAAAAAACTACGGAGATATCAGCCCATCTGTTCCAGAGCTGCGATGTCACAGACTGATACATACACAAGTACACAACAACAGAATCTGTATTCACAGTTATTTACAATTGTATAAAGTTACGACAAACATAGAAACGTCTTTACAGGCTTAGTGTCGATTCACTTACTAAAACTAAGTTTTCTATTCCCGCTAACTCGTACTAGCAAAAAATTAATCGTACCTTCTGGAAAATTCATTGATCGTTTAAAAAAAAGTAACATTTTGATAGACATATACCTATTATCATACGTGTCGTTTCTAGTTGTAAATTATGTTCAATCGCCACTCGGGACCGGCAGGCCGTGACAAGTTTGAAATAGTTGCATCTATTACACTTAACATTATATCACGGCAGATCGATTGAGAAATGTTTTATAAGAACACGTGTGATATACGGAATAGAATGAAGGTTCTGCCTATTAGATTTTTTTTTTCAAATATTATTCACCAAATTACAATATTTGGCACATGGCGTAAAAAATATATCTATTATATACACACCTTACATTTAAGTACTATAAATACATACATATCGCAATATATCCAACCAGGTCGACCTCCTCGCGGTTCTCCCTGGAAACTATCATGGTTAATTCCTGATTCATCATGATGGGCTAACTGGCCTGTTTTCATTCTCATCTATCACCCTTCACTGGTGCTCCGCCAGCGTATTCCGTTAGCGCAGGCGGGGTTACCATTCCATTTTCACCGATCAAAAAAAAATACATACATATCTGTCACGCCTATCTCCCATTAGGGTAGGCAGAAACAATGGAACGCCAAATGCTTCAATTCAAACGAACCCCTTTCGCTTCTTCCACATTCATCAATCTTTTCATACACGCTCGCCATACTATAAATATTAATAACAAAACCTTAAAAAATTACTTAAAGATAAAAAATTTCTTTGAAATCACTGCCAAATGAAGACTTGCTGCATTTCCACGCTGAATGGCTATGGAGATGCGTTGACCAAAGTACAGACCAGCCTTCTAGTCGCCAGAGGTTTCCATCAGACGTTTGAAAAGACGCATGAAATGAAAGAATCTCTTTGAAAAGACTCATGTCCTTGGGCCCACGAGCCCACGGGCCTAGAGTCTCAACTCCAGACGCTATAAATATATATCCATTTTCAAGGAATGAATATTTACGGCGCTTGATAGTCTCTTAGTGTTTTGCGGTACCAGCCCTCATGGATATACTTGGAAGGTGAGACGGCGCCACCGTATCGACCTAGGCCTAAGTCCTATACAAGCGGACGCCTCATCCTCTAATGTACCAAGGACATCCTGGAGGTTCTAGAATGGCAAGCACGCCTGGGATGACAATAGCCTGACGAAGAATGTCATTAATAACTGAGCGGCGCAGCAAGCGCCCAGTATCTTAAAGTAAAAGAGGCCATGGTGTCCCAAGATATTGACGTTAACCTGCAGCGGTGGGGAGCATTTGTTTTGATTTACGATCTGAGAGAGACTGAGAATCTAAACGTTGCGTCATCCAAAAATGTTTCAATATAAGGTGAAAGAAATGTGTGTTATCAAAAGGACCATACTAACATGACGCGTCCAAATGTGAGATTACTATGGGGTTCTTCAAAGGTATTTATATTTCTTTGTACAAATATGTCCTGTTACACTATCAGAATACTTTCTTAAAAGAATATACTTTTTTTTCTCGATTTTTCCTTTTAGTATGTATGACTACAGTACCCTAACAAGACAACTAGGAGTCATTGACACTGTAACATTTAGTATTTCATTCAGTACATGAGTGAGAGTAGATTGAGTCGATGTTTCAGTGGCGATCATTGCTCCTTACACGTAATAATAATACATATATTTAATTGATATTTTAACTAACTTTTACACGCGACTTCGTCCGCGTGACCAGGATAAAAAGTAGCTTATATCCTTCCCTCCAGCATTAAATTCCCTTAGTCACGTTATTATAAAATATTTAAAATAATGTAAAGAAGTAAACAGACCTTTTAAGTAGTTATTTATTTATTTTATTTATGATGCTATATATTATATAAAGTTATTTATCAATCAAGATTTAAGATGACCATAAAATTTTGCTTCGTAAAAAGTAACGATTTCAATCACAACAAATTCAAGGTAACCTTATTGACAAAAATCAAGAAAAATTCATACTTGGCAAAAATATTGCGTAACTTACATATGAAAAAAACTGCAAACGAATTAAGAATCACTTCCTTTTTAATTTCACTAAAATATACAGTTAATTGCTTTGAAAATGGTATAATTATAATTAACATAGAGTCACCTTGACAGACTGGTTAGATAAAGCATAAGAACTTAACTTTTCCTCTGTCCCAAACGTGAAAATTTTTGTCGATCAGCGATTCTTTCTTTTTAGAGCATAAATAGATATTTATGCTCTAAAAAGTTATACTAAATTATTAACTTAGTGTTCAAGTGTTCAGTGTGGAATATTTATACATACATTTTGTTTCGCTAAAAAAAAAAACACCTCTGTCATGAAATTACGTACATTAACGACGGGATGTTTACTAAACGCAAATTTAAACTTATTTTACTTCTCTATTCGTCCTTATCATGATATCAGCCGTCAACCAGAGGGAGATTTTGTACAAAAGTTGTTTGCTTGGGCGCCTCTATCCCATTCGTGTTTCTACCGTGAAGCAGTTAGCACGGCTGTGTTTCGTTTTGAAGAGTGTGATATGGCAGTAAAATTATAGGATACAGAGGAATAACACCTGATTCCTCAGGAATAGCAACGCAAGGGGAGTATCGTGGACGAAATAGTGTACACTGTTATGTCCATGGTACTGTTCATGTCTATAGGCGACGGTTATTATTTTCCATCAGGTGGACCGCCAGCTACCATTGCATAAAAAAAATAGTTAATCGATTAAAACAAAAATTATACACGGACCAGATGCATTTTCACGGCTGAATGGACACAAAAACAATCGGGGCGCGTTTCACATAATTTTGTTAACAAATTAGTAATATTGCTGGGGTGTAGTACGGGCTTGCTCGGTCAACCTTGTTATTTGTCGTTTTCTTTCGGCAGGTGAGTTATTTTTAGCCGACTTCAAAAAGGACGTTCTCACTTGGGTTATATATTTTTACTTTATACTTACTTTATAACTCCGTCGATTCTAAATCCAGTTGGAAAATTCCTCCTTTTTTTATTTGAAAGAATGAATATCATCATTATTTCAGCCGTTGTGTCCACTGCTGAACATAAGCCTACCCTATAAGGGGAGTTTTGACAGTTGCCACGCTTGGCAGGCGGGTTGGCAATCGTAGTTAGGCTTTTAGAAATGTTTTAAAACGCCGCTACTCATTCGTCGACCATTAAGTTCTTTTAGGTTTTTAGGTCGTAGTTCACCTCTTACGACACCCACGGGAAAGAAAGGGATGGCCTATTCTATGCCAGGACCACAAGGCGTATACCTGAAAGAATATACTTACAGATTGGTCCTAAAGAAATTTTATCAAAATCGGTTCAGTACTTTAGTTTGTAAACCGTAAAAACCGTAAACCGTTGAAAACCGTAAAAAATTAACCGGTTTTGTCACAATTGAAATCTTTTTTTTTTGTTAAAAGAATTTTAATTACTTTCCGGCATGTGAATTATTTTTATTAATACTAATAATAAAATTGTTTATACTAAACTGGAAATATAAAACCGGTAATTTGTATAAATATTGAATAAATCCGTTTGATTTATCATCGTCACTACATAGTATAAAACAAAGTCGCTTTCTGTCTGTCTGTTCTTATGTATGCTTAGATCTTTAAAACTACGCAACGGATTTTGATGCGGTTTTTTTTAATAGATAGCGTGATTTAAGAGGAAGGTTTATATGTATAATACATGCATAATATAATAGAGAAACACTTTTGAATTTAAATTTATTTTCAAATTATACCATTTTATTTTTTTTTATAATTGTAATACAGGTATTATTCTCAAATAATGTGTCAAAAAATGTCGTCAAAAACCAGAGGGAGACTTTGTACAAAAGTAGATTGCTTGGGTACCTCTCTCTCATTCGTGTTTCAACCGTGATGCAGTTGTGTTTGCATGGCTGTGTTTCGGTTTGAAGGGTGGGATATGACGTGAATTTACAGGGTACAGTGGGATATCACCTAAGTTCTCAGGAATGGCAACGCATGGGGGGTATCATGGGCGAAACAGTATACTCTGTTATTTCCATGGTACTGATCATCTCTGTAGGCGACGGTTACCACTTTCCATCAGGTGGGCCGTCAGATTGTTTGCCATTCTCAGTTGTATAAAAAAAAAATGGATGACTTTGTTAACATCTGAGCATTATTATTGACAATGTTGCTGTAGTTTTCAATAGTATTGTTTAATTTGTTTAATTTAGTATTGTTTAATTTTGTGTTTCCTTCACTTGTATTACATTTGTGCAACCTTTAGTGGCTGTTAAATTACTATTTAAGTGTGTAATTATGTATTGTTCTAGCTGTTTGTTTGCCTTAAATAAATAAATAAATAAACACTGATAATTTTAGAGGTTTCTAATGTGATGTGATGTAATGTATACCCGTGCAAAGCCGGGTTGGGTCGCTAGTATTGGAATGAATTATCACGCCATTACCACGTGTCGACATACTGCGTCGCTTATCGTGCTCACTGTATGATAATACTG